ATAAAGTTCAAAATGCATCTACCTTGTGATATTAAGGCAACTTACTAGACGATCTACAACCACAAAAGCACAAACATTTGCAAGATGATATTAACATCAACACACTGGTTTAAGGTTTTAATCAAAGTAGTTGTGCACACAAAAAAATATTAGCAACAAAAATCCTGCGTATTCGATCGAATAACACAAATATCAAAGGTCTTTCGAATTTTAAAAGAAAAGTAACCCATTTGAAAAAAATTACTATAACCAAATTTATAAAATGATGAATATCAATGAAACGTCTCAAAATTAAAAGAAATCAAAGCATAACAAAAATGAAAAAAAAAATCACAACATACTATCAGCTCTTGAAGGCAACCTCCTAAAGAAGTTTTGAGGAACTGAAGGAATATCAAAAACCCTAAGCCTAGGGTGTCTCATGACGTAGAAAGCAAGCAAAGTCATCAGCAGTTTCATGGAGATCAAGAAGATTACTCCACAAGCAACCAAACAAAACACTGAAAACAGAAACGTTGCCCTAGGATCTCTCCAACTCAAAAGATTCTTCACTCTCTCTCCCTGAGTAGCCAAGTCTCCTAAAACCATCATCATCCTCCCTGCAATCCCTCTCAACCTATCATACCTTTTCTTCACCAAATCTCCTGATTTCCCACTCGGAAACCCATCAAACTCCTCATCTAGCTCATCAGGTAAAGCCGAATCAGCCTTAGACAGCTTTATATCCATGTGAGGAGGATGTCTCGGCCTCAACCGATACCGATAAAACCCAATCACAAAGCAGTACAGCAACAGAGAGGTGACACAATACTTAGGGAGAAACACAATGAACAAGAAGATAAAATGTGCAAGAACCGTTGTTACCGGACTCTTCCATTTGCAAACCGAATCAAACCAAATCCAAGAATCAATAAACGCAGTGAAGAATGTCACAAGCCTTTCGAAATTCGCTCTCCCTCTTCTTATACTCCAAATGTTGGATCCAAAATCAAGCATATACTCAATCACATCTCTTCCAAGTGGCGGCTCGGTCCTGCCTAGCTTCAGACATAGTATATGAGTTGCTTGGTGTCTAAGACTGTCTAGCTGGTAGATAGACAATGGAGTCAAGTAATGCATCATAGGTAGCAACGGCTCTGAGTATTTCTGAAGCATATCAATCGTTGAAGTACATGAGAATCGAACCGCGAGCTGAATCTCACCCATTTTCTTCACACCGTCTGGTCTCAAAACAATGAGAGGGTAAGAATGTGTGTAGATCCTCTCTGTTTCCAGAGTTGACAAACGTATCCTGATCTTCCCGATTCTTGAATCTTTCGGACCGTTCGTGTTTCCCGGTACTAAGAGATGCATGTTGTCGAAAACTCCAATGGTTATAACGGTGTATGGATCATAAACCTCCCAAGTATACTGCTCGTTCCATTTAGGGCTAAAAGTATCGACGATAGTTCTCGTTCTCACCCACTTCTGTCCGTACTTCGCTACACAATAGGCATCAGTGGTTCCTCTCCCATCACGCGACTTCACAGGCATCAAACCGGACGCGCTGATGACACCAAGCTCCAACACACCAATCGCTGGAGTCCACAGAAGCTTAGAAGAAGCTCTGTAATCGCTGCTATACTGAATAGACTCATCAAGAACATGGTAGCCTCCGTCCAACGAAACCCGCAGATGAATCCTCCCTGCGAACCCCGGAACCGAGTCCACGACACGCTCCAAGTTGTACCACATAGCCGGAACAGGTTCCGGCATTACTCTTCTCTCAACTTGAGATAACTTTATCTCGCATTTACCTAAACACTCTTCTTTTTGACCTAACTTGCACTCCAAGCTAAGTATCAAACTGTCTTCAAAAGGCTCAACGGCTACAAACATCATATCCTCGTTCCAAACCGGACTCATGGTTCGTGTCTGAGACACCCTACTCCTCACGACAACGTTCCCTAAAAACCCTTTCGCTAAAATCTCCGGATTGGTTCTGTTTCCTTGTAATGGAACCAAATCTTGAGCCTCGATGAGGTTCACTCGCAGATACCATAGCCTCGGAGATAGATAGACTTTGGACCGTGCGATCACAGCGTTTTCTCCGTTCACGGTAACGGAATCTGAATGCCAAGCTTCAGGGAACACTTCATCAGCTTGTGTCCCCATCCATACAGACAACATAACCTCTCCTCCAAACCTGTTCCCGTTCATGTCTTCTAACCTATACCACTGAGGAGCCAATGGACTGTCTGGAGGGACACGTGTCGGAATCTCAGCAACTTCGAATTTACATTTGCCAATAATCACTTCTTCGTTGGCCTTCACGGTAACGTCCAAGACGTTTCCTTGGAGACGGTCTTTGTTGAATGCGAACACTTCGTGGAACTCAGGGTTAGGGTTAGGGTTAGGGCTTTGCTTCGTTCTTCCTTTGTAGCTTCCGATAGTGACTTCAATGAATGAGTCGTTGGAAGGTAAGGCGCGAGCCCTGACGAGACGGATGTAGAGAAATGTCATACGTTCCACTAGGTCGAATGATGACGTCTGCATTTCTCCGCCGGGAGCTGATCTTCCACCGCCGATTTTCGGACATGTTTCTTTAAGTGAGAAGTCGTTTTCTGCCATTGTTGTTGTTTGTTCTGGAATTTTTTTTATGTTCTTTGAGAGAAAATAGATTTATACGTTTGAAAGGGATTTTCTTGTTGTAGGATATTCAAAAGACTCGAACATTTTACCTTCTAAGTTTATAACATTTGTTTCCTTATTTGATGAAGAGAATTAAATGGGTTTACTAATGGTTTTAAATGTGAAGATTCTATGCAAATCATTTTGTGAGAAAATTTCGGATTTAATTTTGAAAAGACGTTACCAGTCATTGATCTCATATCAGATGTTTTTCTTTTTAAATTATTTAGTAAGGAGTGAATAATTCAAACTTCAACGTATTGCTAGACCAAAATTAAATAATATTGGTCTTGGTAACACAAATTTTTTTATAATCATCGTGAGTATGAAGTGTTATGCAACCTAAAAGTGTGCAGAAGAATAATGCAACCTAGCTAATTGCTAGTTAATTCTAGTATTAATTATACCTTTTTTTATCGGCAAATATTTTCCACTGTGTTAGTGTGTTATTTTGGGTAGGAAACAAAAACAGTCTCTGGTACTGTGGTATTTTGGATATATAAATTTTACATCCAATGATCCATCTAGGAACAAGGTAAAGTTTCAGTTTAGTTTCGTTTTCATTCTTTTACGTGCTATGTTAGTTTGGGTTTTATTTTTGAGAATCGTTAAATGCCCAAATTTTGAATATGGTTCCGTTTGAATATTTATTATCCAACTATTTAAAACATTTTAAGAAAGTTTGTAAGTACATCCAAAAGAAAATGGGTATTTCAATTTTTGTTTTTATTATTAGGGTTTTCAGATATATTATTGGATCAAGGATTTGAGAAATCTCATTTTTCTATCAAATCCCGATTTATTTGTATCTACCATTTATTTAAATTTATATAGAATCTACGTTTACTGGATTAGTTATTTGTACAATTTTTCTAAATTGCATTTTATGAAAATATGGCTTTGGTCAGTAAAACATGTCAAATATGATTTGATAGGATTTGGATGATATTTTATAGTGAAAAATGAATTGAAATATCACTTCATACGATAGTAATTTTATAAAAATGAAAAAAAAAACACTTCACATTTTTAGAAAGAAAAGCAAAAGGTTTGAAATGAAAAAAATTGTTATAAAATCAAATTTTTAAAATTTTATATATTTCTTAAAACCATAAAAATCAAGGTATAGTAATTTAAAAAATATATATTTTAATTAAATATTCAAAATTTAAAAGGTATTTTCAAAAACTATGATTTTTTCCAAAAAAACTTAAAACGTGTAACAAATTCTTCATAAGATTTACTCAAATCTCAGATTTTTTTTAACTTACTGAAATCTTGAATTCTCACAAATTATTGCTCCTATAGAATCAATTTCCTAAGAGCAAGATTATTAATGTATCTTAGATGATATCTTAGGGGGAGGGGATCACTAGATTTGCAGAACTGAAGAAGAAAGTATGTTAGTTATGGACATTTTCGTTTGGTCCTTAGAACTGTTTGCGGATCCCATTAATACGTGGCGATCCACGATTCGTCTATTTTTTTTTTTAATCAGAAAAAAAACGTTGAAGAACTTTTAAAAATCCTTGCTAATAATGTTGCCCTGTAGAGAAGAGTAGCAACTGGCTCATATATGTTTTATCCCTGAGTCAAAAATATAAGTTTCTTGAATTAAAAAAAGGTATTCAAAAATTAAATAGATATATTCATTGAATCTGCAAAACGCATCCAAACACCCTACTTAACTACACTGTAGTTTCATGGTATGTGTGTGACAATTTTTTTATTATTATTCACCAAAAGAAAGATTGTTTTATACGTTATTTCCAATAGTATCATCTAAACAATGTTCTTTATTTTCTTGCCAATAAATATGACTTCTCTTCAGTTGATCAAGAGCTAAATATTGCAGATTGTTTCTCATCATTTAATAATGAGATTATTACAAATTTACAATATAATGATTACAGCTAAAATTATATACTAAAGGAAAATGTAAATGATTCTACCAACCAAAAAAGAAGTAAATAAAATGGTGAGAGAAAATATCGAAAACGTGAAACCGGTTTCGGGTTTAAACAATACAGCAGGCCACTATCACGCCAATCCAATGGATTAAATTTTCCTCCAAGTAAAATTACCAAAACAACCTTAAACTTACCCTCCAAATAAGCAATTAAAGTACCCTTCAAAGTCTTCAAAAGTATCTGATCTCTCAAGAAATAAATCTTATCTCTCACACCAAAACCAAATAAATTGTTGGTTAAAAAATCCACTCAGCTTTGTCGAGTTTTGTCTGTGTGCGCAAATCACACGTAAACACGTATAATAGATTCAACCTCGTGTGTATAAAACAAATATAGTCTCTTCTTCCTCATCTCATTTTCAGTGTAGCTAACCCAATACAAGAAGAAACCAATGGCTTCCATGTGAATCCCACAACTTTTCTAGATTCTCAGCTTCTGGGTATCTCTAATCTCTCCTTCTCCTTCACGGGCTCTCCCAAAGTTTCATCCTTTATCTTTGGTTTCTTGTGATAAAGCTTTCCTCTTTGTGTCCCTACAATGATAAGATTCTACTGTTGACATTGATTGGTTCATTTATTAGCCAAAAGGATCTTGATTTTGCATCTGTATCTGTCTTATCTATTAGTAAAGTGATCATCTTTGGTGTTTATTACATTGTGCAGCTTTGTGTTTTAAAGAATCTTTCAAAACGATGTCGCTTTTGTCGAAGCTACGGTGTATCACAGTAGATGTAACTGGTACACTCATAGCTTACAAAGGAGAGCTTGGTGATTACTATTGTATGGCTGCTAAAGCCGTTGGTTTACCTTGTCCTGACTATACACGAGTTCATGAAGGTTTCAAAATTGCTTACACAGACATGGCACAAAAGTATCCTTGTTTCGGTTTCTCCAAAATGCCAAATATTGCTTGGTGGAAAACCTGTGTGAGAGATTCCTTTGTCAAGGTATATTTGGATTTGAGTTTTTTATTCTCCTTATGTGTGTTGGTTACTTTGATGTTAAGGGGTTTGGTTATGTATTAGGCAGGGTATGACTATGATGAGGAAACGTTTGAGAAAGTGTTTAGAAGAATCTACTCAACGTTTGGCTCTGCTGCACCTTACTCTGTGTTTCAAGATTCTAGACCATTCTTGAGATGGGCACGTGAGAAAGGGCTTATAGTTGGACTTGTTAGCAACGCTGAGTATCGATATCAAGAAGTTATTTTACCTGCCTTAGGTTTGAACAAGGTAGTGAAGAAGAAGTCTCTCTAATGAACATAACTCATTGTGTGATTCAAAAATTGACTCATTTGGTTAATTTGGTAATTAGGGAGAGTGGGATTTTGGTGTGTTCTCTGGTATGGAAGGGATAGAGGAACCAGATCCGAGGATATACAAGCTGGCGTTAGAGAGAGCTGGGAACAACATTGCGCCTGAAGAGGTTCTGCATATTGGAGATAGTATGCGTAAAGATTATGTACCGGCAAAGAGTATTGGGATGCATGCTTTGTTGCTTGATAGGTTTAAGACAGAAGCTGCTAAAGACTGGAGAGAAGCTGGAGCTGTTGTGCTTCCTGATTTAGTTGCTGTTCAACAGCTTTTGGAGTCTGATAAGTTGAAATGTTAATGAAAGATAGAGACCTCTCTCTTTCTAAAGTAAGGAGTCTAATGTATTGTAGTATTATTGCACATTTTGTCTCTTTCTTCTTCATCTTCTAATGAGTAAAAAAGAGTTTCAAAGCTCATGATCAATTCAAACCAAATCACGATTTCAACAAGGTGAATCACAGAACAGGTGAAGTTTATAAATAACTCTCTTCACTTTATTTTAAGATGATTATTAAGCAACACAACATATGTTTATATTTTATGACTTAAGTAGCTGCTTCAGTTATGGAAGGGATCTTGCTTAGGACAGAGATGGAATCACCAACTTTGATTGTCTTGTTGCCTTTGCCTTGGCGGTTATATATGTTCCAGTTCCAAACCATGTCCTTACCAAAGAAAACCTGTCATAAACCGAAACCAATATATCATGTCGGTTCCAACAAAGACAAGAAGAGCTTGAAATAAATCTAACCTTGCTCTGAGATTTCTTGTCTGGCATTAAGAGTGTGTCTGCTCTGAATTTCTTAAGAGTTTGGATTGGTTCAGCCGAGGAAACCCCGGTTTCTTGATCCACAGTTGTTGTCTGAAAAGAAGAAAACAGTTAAAAAAAACATTCTTCAAAATTTTTTTTTACTAGGGTCACATTCATATTCACCTTGCAGCGGTAACATAGCCTAACTCCTTTGAAGACTAGGTCGTTTATCTTGATCTCATCCCAAAGATCTTCATCGTAAGGATTACCATTCTCCACAACAATGCTAATAAAAGAACCAAGAAAATCAAGATTATGAAGATATTTAGGACTCAGGAGAAAGATAGTTTTATTACTTGGCTCTAAAACGGTTCATAGGCACTGGTTCTGGCAGAAGTGTATTCAGATGGTCCAAAGACGCCTAAAAACAAAAAAAAAGTAAAATGTCAAATGCATATTCTAAAAAAAGATTTATGGGTATTGTAATTATCGATATTGGCTCACCTGAGATGCAACCAGAAAGGGAAACTTATTTGAAAATGTTGTAGAGTAACCTACTGCATACGCAGGAGGTGTAGCTCTACATTCGGTTTCTGTATCCAAAATAAGAAAATCAATGCATCAAGATCTTTTGCTTATGACAAATATGCAAAATAAGAAGCTAAAACCTTTGTTAAACCGGACAAGACGGCTTTGTTTTCCAAGATAGTCTGAAAACCATTTAGCAGCTTCTTCTCCTTCATCAAAAGCAGAGCCAGACCACTCCCACATGGACACACCTTCTACCACTGAGTTTGGTTTACTCAATGGAATCTTTAAATGACTCATACCAGGAGCTTTTACCACTACAAGATCAAATAAACAAACACAATGTGACTCTCAATTCTGACAAAAATTTTGTCAATTTTTCAAACCAATGACGTTTTACCCAAAAAAGAGTTCTTTGTTGGCTCCCAATCTTCAAAGAAGGCTTCCTTGGGTAGCTCTGGTTCAACAAGAGCAAGCTTTGGCTCAACGTTTTGAGTGTAAGCTCTTCCTTTATGGTTCACAACTAACCAATACCGGTCCCATTCAAATCCTTCAGTTTCCACAAGGCATATCAAAAGTATCCATTAGATCCATAACAAAGACAACTTCATAGTAAAAAAAAAACATTTTATCGTTGCAATTTGCCTGCATGTAATCTCTTTTCTATCACTTTTGTTCAGTTAAACAATACCATCACTATGAAAAAAAATATATCTCATTTTTACCAATCTGAGTCAAAAACATTTTATCATTGCATGCATGTATTCTCTTTTCTAAAGCGACCATTCTCATTACCCATTACTAAGAAAAAAGAAAAAAGAAAAAAGAAAAAGAAGAAACTTTCTGTCAGGTTTACCAGTCTGAGTTACGGATGCTTGAGGGACAGATATTCCACGGCAAGATTTTATCGGGTAAATGATTAAGGACTGAATCTTCAGAGCTTGCTCCTCAAAACTCAAAAGTGCTACGGATTCCATTTATCTCTCTCAAAACTGAAAAGTGCTAATGCACACTAGAGAAATCTTGTAGTTTTATTGAAGTGTTCAAGAATTCTACAACTCTTAAAATGTGGTTACACATACGTTACACATCACCACCATATAAAAATATTTTTTTCTTTTAACTTTTCTGGACCAGCCCCATGCAATGAAGCTATCTCTTTGACATCCCCAAAATAAGTAAAAAAAATATATCTAAAATGGGATCCGTATCTAAAATATGACATTTGTCAATAGGAAGAGGAAGCAAAGTATAGCTTTAAACTTTCTCTCAGTATATTAAGGTTGCTGGTTTTTTTTTCAAGTCCAATCTAATTATTCCAGACCAATAAGTAAGATATTATCCATTTCAAAAGCTAAGATTTGTATGAATTTGTTGTTGGATTCTTTCAAAAAATACAGAATATTATTTAGAGTTATACATTATATATCAAAAATATTAAAACAGAAGCACATTTTATCTATTTGTAAGTAGTTTAGGTTAAACCATTACATTTATTTAAATTTATGTTATGTTACATACAACAAACTTAGTAGTTATTAAATAAACACATAATATTAATATAATATTTAAATATATTCAAAATAAGATATCAAAAAGATATTCTTAACTATTTTTTCATATTAAATTTTAACAAATATCTTTAATATATTTTTCTTTCAATATTATTTTAATAATAAAAACGTAAAATAATATTAAATTAAATTCCAAATGAATATTAACTCATTTTGATTTATAGAGTAAGAAATAACCTTCCATAACATTTATATATAAATATTTCATATTTGTAACTAAAAATTACACAAAATAATAATTTTAATATAAATTGATCAACTTTATAAATTATAAACTAAATCAATCAACTTTATAAATTATAAACTAAATCAATTACATTTACAGAATAACAAAATACTACCATAAGATATTTTTTTAAAAAAGAAATATTTTTATATTTTAATATACATATCAAATTTAAACATTAAGATATAAAAAATTAATATTTAATTATATGTAATTGATACACGAAATAATAATAAAGAAAATTTTTAAACCTCCGCCAATACATAATAATATAATTATCATAGATAAAGTATTATAATTGTTTATATATATATATATATATATATAATTTTTTATAAAATAAATATTAATAATAGCTACTATTGATATTTAATTATATGATGAAACATGTTATTACTGATATTTTTATGATTATAATTTTATGGATTATTCCAATAAACAGACAAAATATTTATCAAATATAAAATTAATTTAACAAAATATAAAACTTAATTTAAGTTATGCTTGGGAGTTCAATTATCTATTGGAAAACGGGTCGAATATTTTGAATCAAAGCTAATTTATATCACATCATAAGTGCCATAATTTGTAGGTAGACATGTTTGTAAGTATGAATCAGATTAAAGTATAACACATCGGGTGTGGTTCTAATTGGTACACATTCTAAAACCGATAAAGTAACCATATATCATTCGGATTCGGGTTATATTGGTTTTAAAATCTAAAATCTAAAACCATAACAAAAAAAGATACTTATTTTTATAGAATTTGATATTAAAGTACTTATTTAAATTTATATAATTAATTTTCAATATCATTTTAGAATAAATATAGAACTCAATATTTCTACTAGATATTTATGTTTCAAATATTTATATTTATGATTAGTTTGGACATTCAGATCGATTCAGATTTTTTCCAGGTTTTTCGGTTTTTGTGTTATTTGTTCGAGTCTGGCTAATAACACTTTGATTTGGATATATTTTGTACCACCCTAGAAAATTCATTCTGATATTTTTTAGATTTTTGAACGGTTACGGATCCAAAAATTTTTTGTTTAGATTGAGTGAAGACGTCGAATTATGGATTTTATGCACATATCTTTATATAAAACAAAAATGCGGTCATATAAAATTTTCACCGAAGATTATCCTGCATTTTTAAAAGTACTATATTTGATGAAATTAATGAACTAAACAAGTTTATCCCACATTCTATATGTATAGAAAATGCGGTTATATAAAGTTTGCATTAAACATAAACCCGTGCTTTGAAAACGCGGTTCAAAATCTAGTCTTATCTATCAAAAGAGAAGTCACAACTTTTTTTTCATGTGTGATTTTTTTTTTCAAATGGACTATCTCCTAGAGAGTTGCTTACATTAATTTTTTTTTGTATTTTCACAGTAAAATCTTAACAACATACTTAATTCTCTTTTCACCCCATCAAAATATTATTAATATGCATAATTTCGAATATATATTATTGAGACAATTGGTGTAATGTACCTCAGGAAGATTCAAATTGGCAGAATGTCCATGGTTGTGGATAATCCAAAAAGGAGTAACCTTTTGACACTGTGCGGACGAAAATGCCCTCTTACTTTATCGAAAACATGTAACTCTAGATTTAGCGGATACACATTATGTTAACTGAACACTAAGAGATATTTATCAATTTTAACATGATATAAAAATTGTTAGCAAATTGACAAAATTTTAACATGCTACAAATTTTGTTATCGGGTTACGTCTATTTATTAACGTGTTAAATAAATCGCTAACAAACAGGTTAGCATGTTAACAATACTATTATCATAAAAATACATATATTAACCGCTAATCAATTATCTATCAAATAGCCGTAATCCTATTTGTAACAGCTAACACTCTATATATCGGTTACAAATTCATTAAAATATAATAATAACGGGTAAATAATGAAATAGCTGCTAATTTACATATTATCCAAATAAAAGAATGTATATATCAAGATTTGAAATTGGAAATAATAGAATTAGTGTGCGATAATAACATTAGCAATATGGGTGTCAAAAGAATCAGAATAAAAAATAGAGATTTATGATGAAAAAATGAAATCATAAACATGTCATGTGTGAGAGATAAAGAGATTAGAAGATATGAAAGAGAAGAGAGAGAGAATGAGATAGGGGTATAATGGTCACACGAAATAGTTTCTCTTTTGGAAGGTTAGATGACAAATATGAGGTGTATTTAGGGACAATCCCACCAATTTCTGTATATTATTCTATCATTATATATTTATATTTTCATATAACCATTTATAATCTACTTAATAATAACAACATTTAATTATTCTAGAGTAAATACATGTATTAATATGATCTAATTAATAATAATAATAATAACATTCATTATGAAAATACAATAAGGTTATAATTTTACCAGGCAAATAATAAAATAAAATCAAATATTAAAAATCCTAACACTATTGTATTTTCATAATAAATGTTATTAATATTAGAGATAATTGGCTAAAGTGCCCTATTTGGCACCTATAATTAGAGAATTGCCCATGATGTGACAATCACTTTCTTTTAGACCATTTTGCCCTTCTCTTCACTCTCTCTCCTCTCTTTGACATTTCCCTTTTTTTTTTCTTTTCAATCCCTAATTATTTTACAAATCTCTATCATTCTATATACAATTAAATTTTAGATTTCATAATTTTTTCATAAGTAGCTTTGAATCCTCAATTTTGACCTTTTTTTTTTCTCTCCAATCCCTAATTATTTTACAAATCTCTATCATTCTATATACAATTAAATTTTAAATTTCATTATTTTTTTCATAAGTGGCTTTGAATCCTCAATTTTTTGATGATATCAATTTTCTGGGTTTTAGATTCGACGTCGTGTTAGCGGTTAACAAATATTGTAGATGTTAACAGAAGTGTTATGTGTTAACAATTATTTTTACGCTTCGCGTTAATAAATGTGTTCGCTGTTAAATATTGTAGACGTTAACAGAAGTGTTAACTGTTAACAATTATTTTTACGCTTCGTGTTAATAAATGTGTTGGCTGTTAACAAATATTGTAGACGTTAACAGAAGTGTTATATGTTAACAAATGTTTTTACGCTCTGTGTTAATGAGAGGAAAGAGAAAGGACATTCTCGGTATTTCCTTGCCAAATGGTTGTGTCAGTGTCCTTCATGTCCAATCAATGGTATTTTGCTAATTTGAGCTTCAAATATGGGTAGTTCACTAAATCACTCTTAATATTAACTATATTATACATTACACATGTATCAATATTTATATAGATATTGTGTTAACAAACATATATTGATAAATATATAATATTTTAAAATAAGCTACTATAAATTCAACCATATACAGTGAAACCTGTTTTACCATTCCTTGTTTTTTTTTAAGTTAAAACGTTTAATGCTTAAAGATGTCTTCTTATAAATCTACAAGATCCATAAAACCTATCCACAACTTCAAGAACCTGATGGAGAGTTATATATATGATAAATGAGATGGATCCTTTATTACTTTTCAAGATTTAATCCAAATACTCAGGTTTTAAAATGTTAAGATCCACTGAGACTACTCAAGCCAATGAATACACTTTCAACAAGATGAAAACTCAGAATAAGTGACGTTTGTAAGTTACATAAGCAAGAAATCATCTTTCTTTAAATTATTTAGAGATAACAACACAACAGACGAAGAAAAATGTTTATATATATTGGATTCGACTTTAAACAGCTGCTTCAGATACGGAAGAGATCATCCTTAGGACAGAGATGGAATCACCAACTTTGATTGTTTTGTTGCCTTTGCCTTGGTTGTTGGTTATGTTCCAATTCCAAACCATATCCTTACCAAAGAAAACCTGTCACAAACCGGTTTAGCATCCACACTAGGTACATAATCGAAATCTTTTATACGTTTTAAATATCTATAACCTTTCCATGCGGTTTTTTGTGTGGCATCAAGTCTTTGTCTGATCTAAATTTCGTCAGAGTTTCAATTGGTTCAGTTGCATCTGGAACTCCGGTTTCTTGATTCACAGTTGGTAACTGAAAGATGAAAGCAGTAAAAAATTCTTTAAGTTAAAGAATCTGAGTAATATTTAAATTTCCCACAGTTTATTCACCTTGCAGCGGCTGCATAGCCTAACTCCTTGGAAGACTAAATCATTTATCTTGATCTCATCCCAAAGATCTTCACCAAAAGGATCACAATTCTCCACAAGAATGCTACAAGAGAACCAAGGAAAATCATGATCATGAAGAAAACAACCATCATTGAAAATATTAAAACTCAGGATGAATACTATTTTTTACTTGGGTCTAAAACGGTTAATAGGCACCGGTTCTGTAAGAATTGTATTCAGCATGTCCAGAGAAGCCTAAGAAAAAATAACAGGAAGATCAAACACATATTATAGATTACTGATATTGCAACTATCAATATTGGCTCACCTGTGAGGAAACCATAAACGGAAATGTATTAGCAAATGTGGTGGTGTAACCAGCTGCATACTCCGGAGGTGTAGGTCTAGTTTCTGTTTCTGTATCAATTTTTTTTTAAAAAAGGTTTATCAAACTCTATGCATCAAAGACTTTGCTAATGAAAAGATCAAATGTAGAATGAAAACCTTTATTAAACCGAACCAAACGGCTTTGTTTTCCAAGATAATCTGAAAACCATTTAGCAGCTTCTTCTCCTTCATCAAACGCAGAGCCAGACCATTCCCACATGGACACACCTTGTGCGACCGAGCTAGGTTTAGTCAATGGTATCTTTAAAGGACTCATGCCAGGAGCTCTTACCACTGCAAAATGAATAATCAAGATGATAAATTCGAGTATCGATTCATACAAAACTTTGTGTATTTTCAAAGAAATTTACCCAAAAACGAATTCTTTGTTGGCTCCCAGTCTTCCAAGAAAGACTCCTTAGGAAGCTCAGATTCAACAAGAGAAAGCTTAGGCTCAACTTTTTGAGTGTAAGCTCTTCCTTTGTAGTTCACAACTAGCCAATACCGGTCCCATTGAAATCCTACATATCAGTTTCCACAGATTTTTCTGAGGACTAAAAGGAGCACGAAGAAGAAGAGAAGAGACGATTGATAGGTTTATAACTTACCAGTTTGAGTTACAGTTGCCTGAGAGACAGAGATTCCACGACAAGATTTGATTGGATAAATGAACAGAGACTTAATCTTCATAGCTTGCTCCTCCATTTTCTCTCTGACAAAGTGCTAATAAAACTATGACGAATCTTGTAGTTTAGTTAAGTGTGTTCAAGAGTTGTACGTCTCTTTGCTAATGCGATTACCAACTATAATAAACAATTCATTTCTGGACTAACAATTCACAATTTAAAAACAGAAAAATATATGTAGTACACTAACAACTGAAGAGAAAAGCAGAGTAACAACAGATAAAAAGAAGTCATTGACATTTTAGTCAGAATCATATAGCTTTCAACTTTGTCTCAGGATAGTAGTTTCTTAAATGTAAATTAATGATATTTTAAGGTGAGTTTTGGAGACAATACGATCCTTAAATTCGTGGGACCAGGCTTTCTACAGTATATCAAGACTGTTAACAGATAACAAAGTTTAAGAACACATACCAATATATATGTGGGAGAGACGCAATCAGAATTCGTGATGTGGAGAAGATTGTATGTTTTTTCAGAATGAGACCCAAAGCTCCTTTATATTCTACTTGAGACTTGGAGAGGAAGACTCCAAACTTGGAGAGGAGGTCACTACATGTATAGCCAAGCCATCATATATTATAAAATTCTTAAAGTATTCTATTATCACCAACTAATCATGAGAGGTCTTTGACCATGAATATCCTAAATGAAACCCGAGATCAATTTTAAATGATTTCAAGGCACAATATCACAGAGCACAAGTTTCTCAATTTATTTGGATACAATAACATAACAAAGCTGAAATATGTTTTAGTTAAACAGCTGCTCAGCTCTGGAAGGCATCTTCCTTAGTATAAAATTTTTGTAACTTTAGCAGATACTTACCCAAGAATGGGTTGTTAGCTGGCATAAAATCTTGCAAGAATACTTCATTGGGCAACTACAACTAGGTAAGAGAAGGCTTAACATTATAACAGTCAGAAAACTGAAGACTTCAGGTTTGGTATAGGACTGAGAATCGTTGAATGCCTGAATCAATTGTGATGATGTGAACCAGACATGACATCGCCCATTGTGATTATATAAACAAAGAGAACGCCATCGTTGTTTGAAAAATGATACAAATCTCAGACAAAACCATAGGCGCAAGGCATTACCCCTAAATCCATATTGCAAAGGAAACTCTTAATAAAAACTTCTCTGTTTTCCATAATACAAGGAAAGTGGAAACAATCAAAGATGAAACTATGGTTTCTCATACTTAACAAGGAACCTCAACAACATTAGAATGTACTTGAAAGTCATACAAGTAAATTTAACTGACATCGAGCACTAGACAGACAGCTTTCGATAAGGATCCAAGAATCTCCGGTCTTCTCTAAAGGTACTTTCTTGCGAGTGCACGTACCTTGGTGTCAAAATGCGTCGATGTGATGCGAGAACCAGGCAGATACAATGGATTCAGAAGAATCTGCATGCAATAGAGATTGTGACTGCTACTACGGTGCAACCAAATCAAGACATAGACAACAACTACAAATCTCTCAAAATCAAATAAATTTTTGTTTTGTACCTTAATATAAAGCTCATGGACCTCCTGAAAGAAGCTCTTGATGCCGTCCTCATTGCGTGAATCATGAAGGAGCATGAGACGAGTATGTGTTGATAAGTTAAGGAAGAAACAAACAAACATTTTCAAAACTGGACTCAACAGACAAATCTAACATTAAATGAATTAGAAGGAAAAGAAGCAAAAAAATAGCTGTTCCAATGGAAAAAGGATATGACCAGCAGTAACATACACTGAGACAACCAGATCATTAAACCTGTCAACAGACTTCAAGAACCTGATAAAGACAAATGATAATGAGATGATTACCTTCAATTAACTTCATAGAAATATAGTTACTTACATGGCACTTGTAGTCCAAGCTAGGTCTTGGACGACATCTAAAGCAGCGTGTAATATAAACTGGTGCAACTGAGCAGCATCTTCTCTCTGTCAAATCGAAAGAATGGTATCATGTACGACTTTAGAATATAACAATCAAGCCAAAAGTTACATATGGAAATTGATAATCATAGATTCATTTTTACTTTAGCAGCAGATCCAACTTCAGCTTCATAGATGGGAATATCATTCCGAGCCACAATCATAAAGCAAGCTGTGTTTGCCATTCTCAAAATCCCCTATCTATATTCAATCTTGTTTCTGTTTCCTGTAACACAGTAAAAAAACACACAATTTTCAGTATTGTTCTGTTTCTTAAAAAAGCCTGCATCCACCACTTAAAGAGACACCCAAAGAGTTTAATAGCAAATCTTAAGGTAGAAAAAGTGACCATTACCCAGGGAAAACTGCAATTCAGTTTCTTAAGGCATAAATCAACAACACTCATGAAACAAGCAGTTCTTGTAATGAAAAAGAACTAAAAAAAAACTGAAAGGGTTTATGTAAGAGACAATGTGTTTCCAGTTCCCGATGTGAACATGAAAAACATAATGATCCAAATGAATCAACGAGAAACAGAGAAATCGAATACGTACCTGCGAGAGATAGATTCAGATCGAGACCCGATGAAGATTGAAATTCAAGGAGTGAGTTGTTGATTTTGTGAGGTTAACCAAGCAAAATATCGAATTAGTAAAGTAAACCGAACACCAATTGAACCAAAGTTAATTTATCGAACCGGTTTAGCCCGGTTATTACTTAAGAAAAAAAAAGGAAACTAAAGATTCTGTTACGCGGAAAAGGAAATTAAACATGACACAACAAAAGCAAAAGCAAAAGAAAAATAGCAATACTGAGCAACCGACTTCAGTCAGTTAGCTTCTTCTCTATAAATTAGAATCCGCTTTGAAGCATAACATTCATACAATCTTCTCTCAAACCAAAACACAAAAAAAGCTAGAGCGAGTTCTAATTTTGTAGAAGCATTATGTCGAAGAACACAATGATTAGAGAAGAAAACAATATTGTTGTTAACGACTCTTCTCCACTAGAGTTCGTCTCTTTTCTTGGCCGAGGTGGTTTCGGTTCCGTATCTCTAATGAGAGATTCCAAACACCGTCTCTACGCAGAGAAATCATCTCCAATGGATCTCATCAAAAGTCTCGAGAAAGAGCATAGGATCATGCTTCGTTTCCGCAACCATCCACGTATCATCCAAACCACGAGCCCTAATCTTCACGTTGGAATCAATCTCGACCGTTGCTACATCAACATGGAGTTTGCTTCCAAAGGTTCTCTCCAGAACGTCATCTCTCACTTCCGTGGTAGACCAATGCCGGAGATCATGGTGGGACGTGCCGCTCTTATGATCTTACAAGGACTCGAGGCTCTTCACTCTCGAGGATACGTTCACTGTGATCTCAAACCTGCCAACGTTCTTCTTTTCCCTTCAGAGACTTTCGGAGAGCCGTGGGATTTAAAACTTGCTGATTTCGGTTTATCCAAGGAACCGGGTGTGGATTCTAGGTCGGGTTTGTGTGGTGGTACGCCGCAGTACATGCCTCCTGAGTCTTTGGGACCTAATGGAGTGAAGATGGTGGGACCTGCCGTTGATGTGTGGTCTCTAGGGTGTGTTGTGCTTCAGATGTTTGGTGGATGTCCGAAGAAGGTGGGAGATTTTTACGCGTGGAGGGTTCCAATACTTGTGTCTCCGGTGGCTAATGACTTCTTGAGAAAGTGCATGGAGGTGCAGCCCTCGCGCAGAGCTACCGTTGAAGATCTGATGAAACATACTTTTGTTGCGCCGCTAAGAGTCATGAGGATTCCACCACGGCCAGATCAGATGCTTCAGTACTGTCCTCCAGCGGTCGTCGTACAGTATGCTAGAAGACAAGGAGGACCAATGATGATGAAGATGGCTCCACCAAGACCTAGAGATTTGATCTGTTGAGATCAATCAAGCACAGAAAAAGAGAGGAGATAAAGTTTCGGTTGTTAAAGAGTCGTGTGTATAGGTTTCAGTTGAGTCCTTGTCTTGATTTCAGTCAGTGCTTAGTTTAAAACAAAGTATTAAGTCATGTGTTTGGTACTTGCGTGCTAAGTTTCAGACACTAATTTTTTTTTTAGGTTCAAGCTTGATATATTTGTAATGCATCTTCCTGTTTTATATCAGAGATTATTTTTTAAGTGTCTGATTCTTTGGTATCTACTAATATTACACTAATCAAACGAAACATCATCACACTTTCAACAAGATGTATCTAAGAACAAGTGAACTTTTTGTTTGATTTTTACATCTCAGTGGCAGAAGGTGTGTCCATGTGGACTAATATTAGCAGACAGGTTACACCAGCCATCCCAAGATTCGGGCTTTCTTTAACCTTTTCTTAACCTTAGAGCCTAACAATACGCATAGTTTTGGATTTAATCCAGTATTATGACACAACCAAAGTATATCAGCGCCTCCATACCATACTAAAGAGTAAGAATCAAGAAAAGCAGAGTCAAAAAAAAAAAAAAAAAGAGAAACAAAAGCCAACTTTGATATGAAGTCAAAAGGGAAGCAAATAGCTTTCAACTTTGATCTCACTATAGTAATGTCATTGTAAACCAGTGAAGTTTTTTAAGCATGAGAAATTTATGTAGAGAGGATTTTACTAGTAAGTTATATCTGACATTAACCATAAGAATCTGAATATAAAAGTGCAGAACTTTTTTTCTATTTGAAAGCTACGATTACTACTTCTTTCTACTTGTTACGCTTGGCAGCACGTCTTCCCTCACCCTTCCTTGGTGGTCCTTTATCACGACGCTTCAGCATCTCAAGCTTCGACAAGCGCCTACAACAAACACACAAACTCAACGTTAAAAGGCAAGAAGCGTAAGTGAAATTCTCAAAATAAGATGAGATGAATTACACATGCCCTAAGAAACTCAAGAACACGGCTCTACATAAGCCTCACATAACAAGAGATATAAATAAAAAGAAAGAAAGAAGTTTTTGAGGGGGGAGTGTACTCTTTTTCTTCTCTAGCAAGAACATTGGGATCCTCATTCTTGATGTCGTACGGATACCATTCCGCAACCTTATCACCAAAAAGCTTCTTCCTTAAAATCTTATGAGGAGATCTCTGTCCTGTTGGGTTTAGCATATGTCCGAAAATCCTTGCTCTTGCTTCCGTCACGCCAGTAGTTACTGCTGAGGTAACAAGTCTTTTCAAGCTACCACTAGCCATCTTCCTTTAAACCACACAGTGAAACATGTTCAACACATTGTATGGTTACAAGTTTAACATAAAGACATAAAAACATTTCAACCACAAGACTCAGAGATGAGATGTTATTTTCAAAGCCAGGAGGGTAAATGTCTCATACAAAGGTGTACAAACTTTATGCAATTCGATCAACTCTAAGGATTTAGGGATGATGACATGAATGTTATGAATCCAGTAGTACTCGTTGAGACATATCATATCGAACACTTTCCCTGCTCGAGTAAAAGAAAAAACAAACTTGGGGAACAAGGAAAAAGACTATTTTCACTATCGTCAATGAGACTGACTACAAATCGAATCTTATCGGAGAAAAGAAGAAGGAAACGAGGGAGAAACTTACTGACAAGAAAAACAATAGTGACGGCGACGAGAGGATTGGAGACGGCAAGACTGTAAAAACGAGTGGACTCTAGGTGTTAGGGAGGCTGTGGTTTTCGGAAATTAAAAATTTGAAAAAAAGTGTAGCTGCTTTCATTGAGAGTTGAACTCAAGACCTCCCGCTTACTAAACGGGTGCTCTAACCAACTGAGCTATGAAAGCTTTTTGTTAACATCTATTTTACAACTTTACTGACAAAATTCTCAATTTGTCTATAAATTTACAAATTGAAATACAGTATCACCTAACCTTAATGGTTTTACAAGAATTGAAGAAATTACAATTCAAAAGGCAAATATGTTATAGGTTTAGAAGTAATATTATTAATTAATGTATGTTAGTGGTGACCTCAGCAAAATACAACATACGCTGATGATGTTTTATTGGGGGATTGATTTGCGTTGGAATTGAGAATTTTAGAAGTTGATAGATTTCTAAAGTTATATAGATTATCTAATATATTTATAGATTTTAAAATATATTTATTGTTATTTATAAAATTTTGTTATATTTTTTTATCGAATACTATAGTTTTCATGGATTTATTTTAACTTCTTTCTATCATTATCTTAGAGTAAATATATTATTTACGTCCTTCAATCCAATTCCATTTATTTTATGCACAACTTTACCTATCTTGTCGTCAAACATTTACTTTTCATAGTAAACCACATTTTTAATAATTATAAAAAAAAAATATATATATATATATATAGTATGCTTAAAATATTGTTTCATGAATTAAAAGGTTATAAATACAATTCCTAATAACACTAGTTTTAAAGGATTTATAGAATCATTAAAATCTAAATTTTTTGAATAACAAATAATTTTATATAGAATTATAAAATCATTATACCAATAACATTAGATTTTGCTGATAATGTGAGAAATTATTTAAAATCTAATTCTCATTAACACCCTATAAATACAGTATAAAATTATAACAAATGATTTTTTATAAAATTATAAAATCATTATACCAATAACATGTTATTGGATTTTGGTGATAATGTGAGAAATTATTAAAAATCTAATTCTCATTAACACCTCTAAATACAGTATCGATTTCAGAAAAGGCTATAAACCAAAAAAATTGCACTATCAAAATCTAGCATTCCTTTTTCAGTCGCTTTGTCAGTGAAATATTAAATAACATGTGTAGATAGTCATTAAAACCACAAAATTGTACATAATGTACACATACTGAGAATTTGATACCACCAAAAGTTCATTCAAAATGCTATTTGCTTCTCTGATATTATTTTTAAGGAAAAAACAATATCGTATAAAACTATAAACACACATAAACAATTCCTGAAATTACATCAAAGATAATACTATTCTGCTAGAAATACACTCCAGAAAATAAAAAAGGTACAAAGATGTTTGGAAAAGGGAACAACAGCATATCTTAAATTAAAAAGAGAAATAGATTATGGAAATATTACCAGTATTAATATTTAATTAGACTTTTCTTTTTTTGGAACGCATTTAATTTGACTATATACTTTCATTTGTCTCCCTGGAACTTAACATAATTGTGCGCGTGAGATTAGATTTGATCCCACAAAATCTGTTAAACACAATTCTTGGTAAATTAATCTGTTAAACACAATTCTTGGTAAATTAATTTCTTACCAGCTGTTTCTTTCTCACTAGTTTCCTTTTTTCTGCTTAAAGGCTTACTAATTTCCTTTTTTTTTAGCTCCTTTTCTCCAATACATAACTCTCTTTAACAACGTTTCTCTATTTAACCCTAAAACACTGTCCGTGGTTTTGTGTTACTTCGCTTACTTCTCCCTCACGTAATGGAACCGTGCACTTTCGTTCGTATCACCGTCGGAAACTTGGTTGTTAGGGCATCACCCTCTGTTTCGAACGCACCATCTAGTAACTGGTTCTGTAAGATCAAATTCAAGAATTTCCCACGCCAAATCGTTGCTGTGCCCGTTCTGTTTCGAACCGAATCCCAATCCCAATCCCGGTTATGCTCCAGCGAAGTGTCGAACGTTGCTGCTTCATTCACTCTAAGCAAGTCTCAGATCCAATGGGCTCTTATGAAGCCTAAACGGAGTGTACTCTCCATCAAGGTTTATTCCCGCGTTGCCACGTGTGGACTCGTCCCTTCTTTTGGTGAGAAGCTGATTGGTCGGTTTAAGGTTTCATTAGATTTGAAGACGGCTGAGACAAAGACGTGTTTGGCTCACCTCGGGTGGGTTGCATTAGGCACTAATAAAAAGTCAAATAAGATAAAGAATCCGGAGCTCCACGTTAGCGTACGGGTTGAACCGGACCGGAGGTTTATGTTTGAGTTCGACCGCGAGCCAGAGTGTAGTCCCAAGGTTCTTCAGATACATGGAAACAAGAAAGAAACTGTTTTCACATGCAAGTTCGGATTCAGAAACTCCCCGACTCTTACTAGGTCAGTAATAATTTTTTTCACTCTTTTTAATATTCTTTTGGGTTTATATGCTTTTAAATAAAATTGTACTCATTCATTGTTAATTATGCAGATTACCGTCCACGACCACTGGAAAGAAACAGACTTGGAGGGGGAGAAAAGGTTGGTCAATAACAATACATGATCTCTCTGGCTCACCAGTAGCTATGGCTACAATCACCACACCTTTCGTACCATCACCAGGTTCAAACGGTGTGTCTAAATCAAGCCCCGGCGCGTGGCTCATCCTCCGTCCTGATGGTAACATAATGAAGCCATGGGGTCGTCTCGAGGCATGGCGTGATCATCAGTCTGGCTTTCTCGGTTACCGGTTTCATCGACTTCAAGAGGATATCGCTACGGAAATATCCTCATTGTCTTCCATCAGGACAAAACTTGGAGGGAGCTTTGTCATCGATGGAACCATTACTACCGCGGACACCAACACAGCTGCTTCTTTGACACTCTCAGATGGAAGTTTTGATGTTTCGTCCGGGTTGAGTACTGGATCATTGAAAACACGTTCAGGAGGCGGGTCGGATTTCGGGTTTTTTCTACCCCAAGCGAGAGAAAACTTGGGGTTTGTGATGTCGACAAGGGTGGAAGGAGTTGAGAAACAGAGCAAGCCTAAGGTGGAAGTAGGGGAGAAGTACGTGGAATGCGTGGAGGATGCGGCGGCGTACGTGGCTTTAGCAGCGGCGGTGGATTTAAGCATGGATGCTTGTAGACTCTTCTCTCACAAGATAAGAAAAGAATTGAGACCTCCAAGAGCCGTTTGAAGTTTATTGCTTTTATGGTTTTGACGTACAAGATTAGTTGTCTTTTTCCACTGGAATAATTTTGTCTCTTGTGGAAAAATTTAGAGAAAGTATTTTTGAATTTTATGTTACACTAGATTTTGACCCGCCCTTAAAAGGGCAGGTATTATTTTCTGTAATGATATTTGTGTTTTTCTTTGATATCATAATTATGTAGAAATTTTAATCAAATTTTATTTTATAAAATAATAGTAATTTAAAAATTAACCCGACATATGCTCGGATCTTTGTAATCATATGCTCACATGTTCATATTTTTGTAATCATATTTGCTTATTTCCTAAATTTTGATATGCGTTTGTAAAATGCAGATTTATTTCCGAAACAAATCAAATTTATTTAATATACATTTGTATTTTTGATTACTAATTACATTTAAATATTACAAAGAAATCATTATAACTGTCCAGTAGAAAACCAAATGGAACATTTTATTAAAAGAACTCAAAATCAACCACAAACATCACAGTCGGAAAGTTGAAAACCAAATGGAACTACAAGCAAACTCTTAACTAAAGATTTATTGGATCAACAAGCAAAGCGCTGAGATAATCCTTTAGTTTTCCTTCACGGTGATTGTAGACATCATCGGACGTATAGAGAATATTCAGCATGCGTCCAAAATTGACGACTTGCGATAGAACGGGACGTGAAATGTTGGTTGTCTTTAAGCACTCTTCGTTTACAATCTTGTTGATATCTCCAATCATCGTATGCAATTCCTTACTTGCTTCTTCTTTCGTGACTCCATGTTGTTTCATGTAATAGTTAAGTGCATTTGCAGTGTACCCTTTATTCATATCCTCCTGATATATAATACCACGAGCCAATTAGGTAACAAAAGGAAATCATATATTAACCTAAACCTTCCCTTCTAGTTATGATGTGTACCTCAAAATCCGTAATATCATCCATGAGACGTGCCTTACTGGCTAGATATCGGACAGACTTTGGTCTAGATAGTAGCCATTCAAAGTCTTCCTTCTTACTGATCTGTCCAAGTCCCATAATAGAACATGCTATGGTTGCATATGAACCAATCTCAGCCCCACCAGCCTCTACATACTCATCAAAGTTAGGCATTTGACCTGCTCTTGCCCATTTGATGAGGTCAAAGTTTGCTCTCCCGGCTATCTTTAACTGCTTACACCAAATTTTTAAATTTCTTACACAACTTTATTACCATCCAGTGAATGTGGATTTAGTCATTACAATTAATTAAGGTTTCGAAAGTAACCACCTCTTCTATCATCTTCTCCAACGCAAAGGATCTTCCTTGTGGCTTCAATATTTCTTCATACTCTTTATAAACATACATCACAAATTTGAGGGCAGTCTTCATGTGACCTTGCAGATTCTCCATGTACTCGGAATCCCATCTGTTATAAATAGCAATTTAAGATGATTATTATTTTTTCTAATGCAACCGAAATATATGTCCCAAAGGTGTATACCTTTCCAGACAATTAACCATGCTTTCAACTTCAGGAATTGAACCAGAAGTATCGCAGGCATCGTCTAAAAAGGTGAACATTAAAAAAAACTTAGCCAACATAATTCTCCCAAGTGAAAATTGTGGCTCAAAATACAACATCAGTCCCGTAAACCAACACTCGAGTGTTCTTTCTCTGAAGCCAGGTGGGAGGTTCTCTGTATAGTCTAGTCCCCTCCACCACCTGCAGAAACACAAAAAAAAAAAAAAAAACACATTTAATTACAAATAGTCTTATTAGCTAGCTCTCCTAGAAGAAAACATATTCATTCACACACTTGGTGATAATTTTTAATTCTTGAATGTAATGAAGCTGCAAGAACTTGAAGTTAAGCTTGGCTAGCTTGAGCATTGTGTCATCGTGGTCCTTTTCTTCTTCATAGAAAGAAAGATACTCTCTTGTAACCAGAACCTGCCCTTTCTGGTGCTGAGGTATGTAAAGAGCATTTTTTATATGCTTTAACATATGTGGTGGGCTCGCTGTGCTATCTGTAGCTAGTGGCTCCAAATAGTCCAGTGTAAAGCTCAACGCTTCATCCAGTATATGATCTGTCGTTGTCCTGAAGTGCACTGCTTCGTAGAAGCTTAGCATACCCTTGACATCTTCTAATAAACTTTCTTTAAATTTACCATCATTTCTTTTGAATCTATCGAACACATCTACATGCAAAGAGAAATGTATATTTTTCAATCTACGACGTACACATATGTAACTCATACTAGAATTCATTTAAGATATTACTTACCAGACTGTGACAAAAAAAAGATATTACTTACCCGACAACATATTATGACCATATGTTCTAAAAACCCGAAACATGATGGAGACTGTGTACAGATCATTTTCATCTGTGATCAGTTCATCTATCTTCTCGAAAGCATGTTTCAAAGCCTCCACGATCTCCTTCTCAAACATATAAGCGAGACCAAGAGTGTCCAGAACATGAATCAAAAGAATATTCCTCTTCATTGCGTCTTTGCCTCTGGAAGAAAACGTGAATATGTCTTTCCTTACTTTAGGCTTTAGTATTTCCATCTCTCTCGCAAGCACATCAAAATCCTGAAAGTTAATTAATAAATACAAGTCAAAGATATATCATTTTAAGGAATAATACATGCATATGTATATTATATCATATGTTTTGTCCCAGTATATTTATAAATGGACTCACTGAATCAGTGATGGAGATATTAAGAAAGTGATCACCCCATTGAGAGGGTAGCAATTTTGAAAATTGTATGTAGCTTTTCTGATCTTCCATTGAGAGAGAGAGATTATGGCATAGAGATAATTTCTATACCTGAGCATGTATATATATGGCTGTCCTCTTACACTGGCGCAAAACTTGTAAGAGGATAGCCATGTATGTAGGACGGAATGAGTATTTCTGGTAAGTTATTATATATGTACATATATATATATATATATATATATATACATTTTCAGGATTAGAAATTATTAGATCATCCGATTACGGATATTACCTACTTGTTTGTGTTTAATTTCCTAGCTAATAAAACACAAAATTTTATCAATGATAAATCGTTCAAAACTTAAAACAGCAAATGAGATGAGATATGATTGCAAAGAATTGAGAACTTGCGACTAAAATAAGTATTGGTTAAAAACTAAATAGTGAATATTATGCTAATGGCCCTTTTTATATCTATTTAATTATTTAAATTTATTTATAGATAATTTTTTGAGAAATGTTTAACCTTAAGTTGGTTACCATTTTTCAAAAATACATTAATCAAAAAGACTTTAATATTTAGTTTTGAGTTTAGTGATTCTTGTTTTGGTTTTAGTATTTAAGGGATAAGTTGGGTTTATAAACTTGTATTAGAAATATTTTTTAAATTATTATTAAACAGTTATACATGATTTAAGAGAGTTATTTTAATTTTTACTACAAATTTAAAGTATTTATAAAATAATAATCATTTAAAATTAAATTTTAAAAGTGGTATCAACCATGTGGTAACTTTGAAATCTCCCCTAAATATTTAGAGGCTACTTCATGGTCTTTGTAAAGTTTATTCTAAATATAGAATTTCTTAGAGAAAGATGGTAATGCTTTATGAAACTTTGTTTAAAATACCTTAAGTTGGTTATCATTTTTCAAAAATACAAAAATACATTAATCAAAAATACTTTAACATTTAGTTTTGAGTTTAGTGATTCTTGTTTGGGTTAAGTTGAGTTTATAAACTTGTATTAGAAATATTTTATAAATTATTATTAAACCGTTATAAATGATTTAGGAGAGTTATTTTAATATTTTATTACAAATTTAAAGTATTTATAAAATAATTATATTTTTAAAAGTAAATTTTAAAAGTGCTATCAAACATGTGGTAACTTTGAAATTTCCCCTAGATATTTAGAGGCTACTTCATGGTCTTTGTAAAGTTTATTCTAAAATATAGAATTTCCTAGAGAAAGATGGTAATGCTCTATAAAACTTTGGTTTAAATAACTTCTTCAATATTTTCTGAGAAATCAGTTTTGACGTTAATTTTCAAAAATATGTTAATTATGGATGTATTCTTAATAAACATTATATACAACTATTGTTAGTAACTTTTTCCCTGTTAGTTGTATTAATTCTACCAACATGTATCCATGATTCGTGTAATTGATTAATTAATATTTGATAAATGGTTGTCTAGTAAATAGATTCGCACGGTTAAAGCACTCCAAAAGATGTGTCATCTTATGTGACAGATTATAATAGGTCATGTGGTTGTTACGAGTGCTTTGAACAATAGACACATGAGATGTGGTAACTTTTGTCTACGATGCGGAGAACCGGAAGAAACAGTTGCACATATAATTTTTCAATGCTCACTTGCAATGCAGGTTTGGGCACTAGCATTTATACCTACCATCTCAACTTTATTCCCACTACGGAACATATATACGAACATGAATTATCTATTTTGGAGAAAGAATAAAATAATGGAACCAGAATTAGATAAAGACCCTTATCCTTGGCTAATATGGTACATCTAGAAGGCTCAGAACGATAAGTTGTTCCGAAGAATTGATAGAGATCTTCTGGAACTAGCCCGGTATGCAGAGAGTGAGTGTCTTGCCTGATTCCCAGCCAATGACCAGGATATCGTATCATCGCAAGGAAACATAGATGCTGAAAGCCAGGTCATAAGCCTGAGAGATATTTGTATGATAGACAATTCTTGGACCTCTACAGACCAATTCATTGGTTGTGGTTGTATTGGAAGGATAGCAGAGACAATAGTCAGTTGATAGGCATGCGTAACGTTAGTAGGATGGAGTCGGCTTTGCATTTTGAGCTAGAAGTATTGTGGTGGGCAATAGAGAATATGCTTCAACATTCGCCATGTCAGAACTTTGGGACGGACTGCAAGGAATTAATAGCGATGCTCAGGAACCCCCATGAATGGTCAAGCTTCTCGATGGAATTGGAGAGTCTCTTGACGCTGCAGATTTACTTTTCAGATTTCAAGATATCTTATGTTCTTAGGTCTCAAAATGCTGTGTCCGATTCGTTAGCTAAGACGGCTCGTTCCTTTTATCGTGAATTAATGTATGTTGGTTGTTTTATTTCGGTCTGGATTCCCAGACCAATTCAAGGTTGAATAATACATCAGTCTTTCGTTGCCAAATAAAAAAAAGAAAAAAAAGATTCGCACGGTCAAATGTTGGGCCACCACCTTATCAATACTTGTTTTTTCCACATTTTAAACATTGTAGGAAGCAGTGGTCAAAAAACATTTCAGGAAGCAAGAAGAAGGATAAAAGACGCAACTAGATGAAAATTCTCAGTTTCTGACAAAAGAAATAAACTTTTTTTTTTTGTGCACCGACAAAAGAAATAAACTTAATAACATTTTCTTATCTTTTTTTTCTACCAAAAAGAACATTAAATGTGCTCCACTTTCTTGTGGTTAGTAATGAATCAAATAAGTTAGCATCTCTGGAATCCTTGTAGCATTTCAACTTTCATAAGATAGTAGAAGGGAGTAGGCCAGACCGTCAGAGAACCGATGGCTATGATAATGAATCCACAGCGGTAGATAAGTATGTCTCATTTCTTCTTCAATCTTTACAACATTATATTTTTTATTCAGATTATTATTCTTTTGGATATCTGGAAAGATAGTAGATGGGACTCAAGGGAGTAGGCCAGAGAACCGGTGGCTATGATAATAAACCCACAGGGTTGAAAAGTCTCATTTCTTCTTCAATTATTACAACACTATATTTTGTTCATATTATTATTCTTTTGCATAACTGGAAAGATAGTAGAAGGGACTAGGTCAGAGAACCGATGACTATGATAGTAAATCCACAAGGTTGACAAGTATGTATCATTTCTCTAACAACATTAGATTTTATTCAGACCTTTTTGGCTAACTGGAAAGATTTTGAGACGAAATCAGGAATAATTCTCAAAGTTTAAGTACAAACATATATATTCTTACTACTTAAACCGCTTACAATGAAACTATGATTGAATTTGTAGCATAATGATTTGGAAATGTTAATCCAAACCCTTAAATTTGCTGTTTTCTAGGTACGTTTCTGTATAGATCAAATACCTCCATAATTGCACCAGAATCTATATTATAATAGTAGAGTTTCTAGGTTTCGCGCCACGTCAACAGTTTTTTGGGGCCTATAGATATTTTTTTAAAGCCATAGTTTTGGTAAGATGATTATGAACAATGAAATACAATTTAGCCAAGTGGTATAAGGTGTCCAATTAAGCATGCAAGATCGTGAGTTCAAACCACGCAGCTATCATGTATTTTTGATTTTTTGATTTGGTTATTATCTTATGGGCTTTTTTGTTTATAAAGTTTTTATGTTTTTTTGGCTTATTGTTTTAATGATCAAAATAGTTGGATAAACCCTAAAGTTTAACAAGTTCAAACCCAAAAATAGTTAAAAATCGATCCAAAAACGAACAATAAAAAAACAAAAAAACAGCAAGTCTCACGCAGTTGCATACACGGATGGCTTAAAGAACCTTAAAACTATCCTATTATAATATAGCTCAACCCAAAAATAATAAAAATGGATCAAAAAACGAACAGACCAAAACAAAAAAAAACACGCGGCTGCTTACATGGATGGCTTAATGAAGCTTGAATAATATAGATTAAGATCTCAAAAATTTAATCCTTGCACAGATTTCCTAATATATATTTTCAAAAAAAATTGTATGTGAGATAAAATAAAATAAAAAGCAAAATTTAATTATTTTTTGTTATTTATTAAATGAATATGTAATTTCTCTTACATTTTAATAACTACTATAATTTCATTGAAAACATTTCTCACCACCGATTCCAGACCCCGGCGAATGGATTCCACAGTCGATGACGCCGTAGATAAAAATGCCACATCATTTATGAACAAAACTCAAACTTACAAAAACCATATATAAAAATCTATCTAATGAAACTTAAACAACGAATATTAACTTAATTAAGGTTATTTTCAAATTGATAAATCGTTTAATACAAATATAACTACTATAAATATAGAATTATATCAAGTTTTGACCTACGATATAAAAAATTATTTACAGCAAAATAAAACACCTAAAATTACACACTAAAAACTATATTATAGTCTAACTATTACTATAAACCTTATTTCGTATATAAATAACATTTAACACATTTCTAATATATTTTTTTAAAAATTGTATGTGAAATAAAATAAAATAAACAACAAATATTAAGTATTTTCGTTATTTATTAAATGAATATGTAATTTCTCTTACATTTTAATAACTACTATAATTTGATTGAAAACATTCCTCACCATCAACTCCTGACTCCGGCGAATGGATTCCGACAGTCGATGACGCCGTAGATAAAAATGCCACATCATTTATGAATAAAACCCAAACTTACAAAAAACCATATATAAAAACTTATCTAATGAAACTTAAACAACGAATATTAACTTAATTAAGGTTATTTTCAAATTGATAAATCGTTTAATACAAATATAAATACTATAAATATAGAATTATA